CGCGGGGGGGGGGAGTGGAGCAGTTTACTGCAGGAGCTACCCAGGGTCACCTCCATTCCAGAGATTAGGGAAGAAAGTGTGCTGGGATTATGGACTTCAGCAAGAAGGGAGGCTGTGTCTGTATCTGGTCACCAGAGGGTGCCATAGAGGCCCTGCAGCTACCCTCCAGGATCATCAAATATCCAGAGCAGATCACCCACCCTCTAAGGTGCTACTGTCCCTGTGTGTGCGTTCCTTATGTCCCATGGAGACTGAGAGAAGAGAGGGAAAAACTAAAAGGAGGGAAGGAGGCTGGTGCAGTGTCCTGGCTTCAGAGAAAGTGACATGTGGCCCTGTCTCCTGCTCCCGTGGTGGGCAAGTGACCTAGTGGCAATCAACTGCCGCCTGGGGGCCCAGCCTCCCTCTGCTACCATTAGAGAGTATCCCGCAGTCAGTCACCTTTTCGGGAAACCAAGAGAGCCATGGCTTCCTCTGGGGATTTTCAGATAAAATCAGAGGCTAATCCTTCGTCTAATAGCAATTTAGTACGAGCTGAAGCTGGAGTCAGCTTCCTCCATGAGCACCGGGTAACATTTCTTTACAGAAAGCTATACTATTTTCAGAAGATTACAGACAACCACCGTAAGGAGACTTAGCAGGCTCAAGGTGTTTGCCTTGGACCCGAGACTGATTTCTAATTGACCCAGTCTTCAACAGTCCATCAGAGAATGCACTTGCCTGCCAAATTTCACACCTAAGGGGAAGAAATATTCCCAATAAAATTTTCCTTGAAAAAAAAAACCCACTCACTCTTACCGCTAAAACGTTCTCAACATATTTAAATCAACTGCCTCCAGGAGCATGCAGAACCCTAACGTTGCAGATCCCAGGCCTGTCCGCCGTGGCCCAGCAGCGAGGAAGGGTCAGGCCAAAGCTTCCTGACTGCCAACCACAGGCCTAACACCCACAGTAGGGGGAAAGTTTAAATGCCGGTATTGTCCTGTCACCTTACAGAGTGTGCTGACCACTGTGCACAAGAAGGAAGCCCTATTCATCCATCAAGAGGCCGGCTTTTCCTCCTGCTCCAGACTGAGCAGAGCCCAGGATTTATTTCCACACATTGGGGTGGAGACCAGTGTGTGTTTCTCAGCCATAAGCTTTGGGAGCTGAAGTGGGAGCTCCCTGAGGCCCGGACCTGTTTTGTGTCCTTTGTTTCTTTTCCCTGTTCCAGAGTCCTGTGCAGGAGCACCTCCCAGGCTCCTGGACAGAGTAGGTGGAGGAGCTGTTGGTTTGTTTTTTAAAGTGAGATAGGTGTCGTGGCTTGCTTTACCAACGCTCGCTTAAGATTTGGCTGTGAAGGTTTCAGAGCTTTTCCCATCCTCATACAGATACTGCATGCTTCCATGCACATGTGTGTACAGACAGACATGCTTAGCTATGCAGTGCAGGGATCCTGTTGATTGTCACGGATCGGTTAGTAGAAACAGACTCTTTCCTAGTACTTTAACTTTTATATGGGTTTAAGAATAAGAACTTCTGTGGATACTTTAGATGTTGAAGTCTGGAGGCTGGAGAGAGGGCTCAGCTCCTGCTCTTGCAGAGTGCCTGACTTTGGTTCCCAGCACCCAAGTAAGTCAGGCAGCTCAGAACCACAGGTAACTCTTTTTTTTTTTTTTTAAAAAAAAAAAAGACAGTTTCTCTATTTGGTCCTGGCCTGGCCTGAAACTTGATCTGTAGATCAAGCTGGGTCAAACTCACAGAGATCCAGCTCCAGGGGATCGAACACCCTCTTCTGATCTCTACAGGCATTTGAACTTACATGTATGTATACATATCTACATAATTTAAAAATGAAAATAAATCTTTTTAAAAGTTTTCACATGGCTCGGTGGAGCCAGGCTCATTTGTGAAGCGGGGTCTTTTTCCAGAGGAAAACCGTTCGGTTTTCAGTGCTTCCGAGAATGTGGCCTTGGAGAAGCCACTCACTTTCTCTGGGCCTCAAGTGCCATTTTTGTGCAATGGTGAGGTTGGAGTGGATGCTCTAAGCGACCCTCCGGCTGTGGCACTATTGAGATGGACCTACAGCTTTGTGGTTTGGAGTTAGAGGTGTGTGATATTCAGGAATCAGCTCAGGCACGGGCATGTCAGCATTTTGGGAAGCAAGAATCTAGGAGACATTTGCTAGTAGGGAACCTATAGAAGTTTCTGGAACTTTTTTTTTCTTAAAAGACAGTTTCTCTACTTAGTCCTGCCTGTCCTGAAACTGTCGATCAAGTTGGGCTCAAACTCACAGAGATCCACCTGCCCCTGCCTCCTGAGTGCTGGGATTAAATGTGTGCACCACCACCCACAGCTGTGGAATGTTCTTCTTTTCTGTCTGAACAGAAGCATTTGGCAGAATTGAGAGGGTGAAGGGGCAGCTTCAGTTCTAGTTGGACAATATCATGGAGTGGGGATGATGGCCCTTGATCCTGAAGTGAAGAATGAGCAAAAGCCAAGTCCTGTCTCTTTCTGGTGACAGGGACAGTCCTCAGACCTCATGCCTACTTCCGACCTACTTCACAGCCTCTTGTTTTGTCTCTCTTTGAGACAGGGTCTTGCTAAGTTGCCTAGCCAGCCTTAAATCGGTTCTGTAGCCCAAGTAGGCTTTGAGCTTTCCCATCATCCTGTCTTGGTCCAGAGTCAAGGCTGTCAAGTCTTGCTGAGAAAGGGTAATTATTGGATGTAGAAGCCAAAGGAGTGGAGAGAGACCAATAGCAGAGGCCTGGCCTCCAACTTCAGTGCTGCCAATGGTCCATCTTAGTGACTTATCTACAGGACGGTTAGCCTTCTTCCTGGGATGTCAGAGACGGTGGCTGCGATTTAGGAGGGATTCAGGAGGGGGACAAATGTCACCTTCACGCAATGCCAGTCACCATGGGTCCTTGGTGTCCTGTCTGTTGGAGAGTAAAGTGGCCCCTTCCACACCACCTCTGCAAGGAAAATCAGTGCTGCCGTGTGACATCTGTGCCTCCCCAGCAGGGCTGTCACGGGCTGGAATGTGGCGAAGATATCTTTGCACACATTGTCCCTGCGCAAAATATTGTCACTTTCATTACAGGAGAAACGGTTTCAAACGCTGGTTTTTGTTTTTAATAGAAAATGGTGAAAAATTGGAGGGGAAACCCGCAGGATCCCTTGCTTTTATTAAAACCACAAAAATTGATTAAAATTTTATTTTTTTAAGAAAGCCCAGTTTTTTTTTTGCTGAGGGCTGAGCTTTTTTGCCATGAAAGGCTCTGCTTTCTCTGACCTCTCCCTCGAGAGTGTAATGAAAGGTTTCTCTTGTTCACTGGGCGGAGTGAGCCGAGGCACTCTGGAGCCCCACTGTGTAATTCTTGGGTCCCAATGCAGCCTTTTGAGGGTGTCTTTGTACCCTTAACCCAAGTTCTGCTCAGCTTTCCCAAAGCCCTGGGTGGGCAGGGCCATGCAGCCTCGGAGAGTGCTTCTTGGGCTCCAGTATACTGTATTGGAGAAACCTTGAAAAAATTGCTGAAATTGAATACATCCTGGTGGCTCAGACCTATAATCCCAGTACCCAGGAGGCTGAGGCAGGAGGATTATTGTAAATTTGAGGCCGGCCTGAACTACAGGGTGAGTTCCAGGGACACAAGTTCTATGTCCCAGGTTAGCTTCTTAGGTGAACTGACTCCCACTTGTTGGTGGGTACAGTCTGTCTGTTTCTGTGTTCCCATGGAGGGACCATCAGCTTAGCCTGGCTGCAGCAGGGCCTGGACCTTTTTAGTAGAAGTTGCTGGAACCTTTTCCCTTGTCCTGGGATAAGAGCTGGTTTCTGTCACCAGAACAGGTTTGTTCAAGCGGGAAGAGGCAGGAGCCAGGGTCGTCATGGGAGCATTATGATGGGCTCAGAGGTGGCCATCCAGACCCAAGGCCACCTGTTCTGTCTCCCTTCTCTGTAAAGGGGTCTTACAAGGGGGACGCTCATCACAATGAACTGGGCTGGGCTGTTGGGCTCACATCAGTGTCCTGGCAGGTTGACTGGCCCTTCTGGGTCCTGGCTTCTCCATCTGTCTAAGGAAGGTGTTGAGGGCCAAACAGAACCAGACCTGCCCACAGTTAGTGCTGCCCCCTGGGGTTGGTTTGACAAATGAAAAGTTTCATTTGATTTGAGAGAGTTCAGGACAAGCCAAGGAAAAGACTACCACAGTGCCTTATCCCCATTGTGCGGTGACAGATATTTCATCACTTTTGTTATTGTCACGTCCAGGAGTCACCGAGTATCATGTTGGTAAGTGTTTTCCCGGTAGCCACCATTTTTGTCCTCATTAAGACCGGATCCTGTGGTTCTGGCAGGAGGGCGACCTGAGGTTGGCACAAATCCCTGTACAGATCGGGGCCAGGGGTCCTGAGAGAAGGACTGAGCCCCTCTTAGCTCCGGGTCTGTGGTCTTAATGGAAACAAGGACTGACATCTGCTGCTTGTCTGAGGGGCTGAAGCTGAGGAGCCGCAGAGTGTAAGAGGAAAGCCAGGGGTTCAACCCACGGCATCAACCCATCTGCCTTCATAGGGTGTGTGTGTGTGGGGGGGGGGTGGAGAGCCAGGACCAAGACTCAGTTTCATGGATGTCCCTCTCTTGAGCAGCATGGCGTGCACCCCACACAGCACTGTTCCATGCTGACCAGTGTCACGAGGTGTCCACAGGGGCACCCCAGACTCCTGTTTATCACGGAGGTCACATTGCCATCAGAGGGCAATGTTCTCAGATGCTCAGGTGTGCTGTCCCCTCCCTGCTCCTCTCTGGCTTTCTAGATTGATCATCTTGTTAATGTCTGTTTCCTGTAGAGAGCGCTGTGCTGGGGGGCAGCTTGTGACAAGTCTGCCGCTTGCTTCCTTATCTGATTATCTTTTAAGAAGATGTCTCATCACCGAGATCCTAGAATAACAGCATCCCTGCTCCCAGGCCCCTCTCTTCCTCTCTGCGCTGCTCAGTGTGGTGTAATTACAGAACAAGCTTGTCAGCACTTGGCACATCTGATCCTCAGGTTTCCTCCTCCCAAGTCTCCTGGACACCCTGCTATCCCCTCATGCCAGCCACCCCTGAAGAGTTCCCTGATCAGAGCTGTGTTCTTGGGTGCCCGCTTTCTGAGATGCACAAACCCCAAGTCCTACCCTCGGGTTCCTGTTGGTAAGGGGTCGGTGGAGCAGAGGCCAGGCCTGGTTTGGTCAACAGTGCACACTTTTCCAAAGATCCAACTGTGATCCTTTTGTAAATACACAGAGACATGGAGAGGAGCAGCAATGAGGATAGCAGCCAGTTGTCGGAAGGGAAGCTGGCTTAAAGGAGAACCAGGAGAGCCAAGATCCAAAGGTAGCAAGGAAATCATTTAGAAATGAGTTCTCTCCTCTCCTCTCCTCTCCCTCCTCTCCTCCTCTCTCCTCCTCGCTCTCCCTCTTCCCCTCCCCTCTTTCCCTCTTCCCTCCCCTCTCTACCTCTCTCCTCCCCTTTTCTCCTCTCCTTCCTTCTCTTCTCTTTTCTTTCCTACACTCCCTTCTCCTTTTCTTCCTCTTCTCCCCCTTCCCTCGCCCTCCTCTCCCTCCCTCTCTGTGTAGGCTGGCCTTGAACTCTGAGTAGCCCTCAAGCCTTAGCATCCAGAGCGCTGGGAAGACAGGAGCACAGCACCATAGCTAGCTTGGAAATGAACCTTTTCTTTCTTCTTTGTTTGTTTGTTTTTTCAAGACAGGGTTTCTCTGTAGCTTTGGAGCCTGTCCTGGAACTAGCTCTTGTAGACCAGGCTAGCCTTAAACTCACAGAGATCTGCCTGCCTCTGCCTATCAAGCGCTTAAAGGTGTGTGCCACCAATGCTTGGTGTTTCTTTTTTTTTTAGTGCATGTTAGACACATGCTCTACCACTAAGCCATGTTCCTAGCTGGAAATAAATTTATTTTTAGAAATTATTTTATTTTTTAGTTTTTTTAGAAGATATAATAGGAGCTCAGCAAGTCAGCTTGCTTCTTTCTCTCTCTCTCTCTCTTTTTTTTTAAACTGGTTCTCACTATGTCACCCTGACTGACTTGGAACTTGCTACATAAACCAGGTTGACCTTGAACTTGGAGAGATCTGTTTGCCTCTGCCTTCTGAAGCGCTGGGGTCAAAGGTGTGTGTCAACATACCTGGCTTTCGTATGCTGTTGTGATGGCTTCAGGAGGGGAGAAAGAAACGGTGAATGACTTTTCTTGGTTCCTCTAACCCTTGGTTTTTGGGCTGGAGATGGATATAGTCAACTCCATATTGGCCAATCAGATCCTCCCACCTAGAAACTGGATCCTCAGATACTGCTTTTTAGGGCTGGGTACATCACCTAGCCCACATGGGTGGCACTCTGTACCAGAGGAGCAGAAGATACAGGAGAGGCGGAGGATGCTCAGCCAAGGGTGAGAAGGGATGCCCAGGTGAGGCATGGAGAGAGAGAGAGAGAGAGAGAGAGAGAGAGAGAGAGAGAGAGAGAGGATGAAGAGGAAGAAAAGAAGAAGAAGAAGAAGAAGAAGAAGAAGAAGAAGAAGAAGAAGAAGAAGAGGAGGAGGAGGAGGAGGAGGAGGAGGAGGAGGAGGAGGAGGAAGAAGAAGAAGAAGAAGAGAAGGAGGAGGAAAAAGGAAAAAGAGGGAGTGAGAGAGAAAAGAAAGACAGAGGAGAAAGAAGAAACTGAGGGAAATAGAGATGGGGAGATAGAGAATGAGAGACAGGGATGGGTGAGGGGTAACTGTTTGCTGCCAAGTCTGGAAAGCTCCCATTCCTCCGGGCTTCTTCTCACCTAAAGTCCTCTGTTTGGGTCCAACCATCCACACTGGTTATTGTTCCTCCAACATGGAAGGTTTTGCCAAAACCTTTTGCTTCCTGAGGTAGAACAGGTGAGAAAAGGGCCAGCACCCAGAGAACCTCAATATCCCCAAGCTGTACCCTGTGGAGTTCGCCCTCCTCCCATCCCCCTACCCCAGGACCAGAATGGCAGGCACTGCTCTGTCCCTAGCCAGTCTGAGCTCCTTGAGGGCCTCCACGCAGGAGAGCAGTAGTGCAAACGGGCAGGGTCTTGACATACATTCCATGCCGGACTTGAGAGCCAAGCAGACCTCCTTCAGGGTCCCCATGGGCTGGGGCCTTGTGAGCTTTTATTGGTGCTGACTTTCCATGCTGACCCATGTGACTGCCCCAGCTTCCCCGCAGGCTGGCGCTGGCTGCCCCCCAACAGTGACACCTTATAAACCACCACTGCGACCCGCCTGAGGTGCCTCTGGGGGCACCTCACGGTGCCTGGTAACCGAGAGTAAACAACTGGGCGATGCGTCCTTGCACAGTTTCGCCTGCCTTCGGCCTCAGAAGAAATAAAACAACTTACTTAATGGTGCCCTTTAATCTTCTGCACCAGTGGCCTTCTTTACAAGGTGTTAGACAGAGCCCGTGTAAAGCCGAGCTTCGCAATGGGGTCAGTGTTTCCTGACAGGTGCTGGGTGGGTCAGGGTGGGGGCGGGGGAGAGGCACCCCGACACCCCCACCCACACAGAAGCACGAACTTGCTTCCAACACAGCTCCCATTTACAAGGCGGTGACTGTGCCTGGCCAACTACTAGAACCTGATGGGGACCTGCATCCCGTGTCCCTGCCTCCCCAGCTCCATTGAAATCCGGACCACAGCAGGGGGTGAGGGCACCCGCAGTTTGTGATAGTTCAGTTACTCTTTCTAACTTTGGCTGTTGCTCATGACTCCTCCTCTTTTCCTCCTCCTCTTCATTCTCTTCCTCTTCCTCCTCTTTTTCTTTCCCACCATTCTCTCTTTTTTCTTCTTCTGCCTCTTTTTCTGCCACCTCTTTCTCCCTGGTTCCTGCCATGAGCAACTTCTTCCACCCATGGGAAGAGTGGCCTCACAAGCCACCCACCCCTCCTTTCTCTGTCTGACAGTGGCCAGGAATGACATTGTACTTTCCTGCTTAAGGACCATAAAAGCACTCAGAGAAGGATTTTGATTGGCTCTTATATTCTCTCCTGCCCCCCCCCCCCCCGCCGAGAGTGGGGTCATGAGCAGATGGCCCCCCTCCCTGGAAGGCATTGTTGGACCACGTAGAGAGGTGACTTGTATCAGAGGTTGGAGGTACTGGAAGAAAGATGTGCTGGGGTAATGGAGAGAGCCCACTGTGTTCCCCCAGAATGAGTACTATTACCAGTTCCCCGGGGCTTCTGGGAACGGGAGGCCCATAACACCATGTCTGGCAGCTAGTGTGTGATTAAGTGACCACTGTCCTTGCTTTCTTCTCAGGACCCCATTACTGCCCAATCCTCTCCTAGCCCAAAGGACCTCTCAAGTATAGGGTCCTGGATAGTTCCTGGTGAGAAGGCTCAGGCCTTTGGGCTCGATTATTAGCCTTGTGCTTGTCCCCAGGTCATGTGGGGGAGTCACACCAGTGCCCCTTGTGCCCCACATGTGACTTTCTCATCATTATATTTGCCACCACGTGCCTTCATCTGCAGCACTCAGACCTCAGAAGACAACGTGATGGTTCGTCCCTGTCAGCTTGGTTGGCGTCCTAGTTTGCTGTCCTGCGGCTGTGATAAACACATGACCAAAGGTAACTTAGGGGGAAGAAAGGGTCTATTCCATCTTACACTTCCGGGTTATCGAGGGAAGTCAAGTCAGGACTGAAGCAGAGGCCAGGGAGGAAGGCTGCTTCCTGGCTTCCTCTGCTGGCTTCTTTATACAGCCCAGGCCCGCTCGCCCAGGAAAGACACTCACTACAGAGGGCTGGGTCCTCTCCTGTCAATCATCAGTTGAGATAATTCCTCCTGGACACAGCCACAGGCCAATCTGATGGGAGCAACGGTTCAATTAAGGTGGCTCTTCTCCCGGTCGTGTCACCCCGATGGTGAGAACCAACCAGTAGAACTGAATTTAGAGTCACCATGGAAACACACCCTCGAGGTGGCTATGAGGAGGATGGTTCCCGAGATTTAACGGAGAGGGAGGACCCTCCCTAAATGTGGGCAGTGCTGTCCTGTGGATGGGGTCCTGGACAGCACAAGGGAGAGCATGAGCCCAGAACGGGCATACGCCTTGCTCTGCTTCCTGACCGCAGACTCGGTGTGACCAGCAGCCTCCTGCCCTGTGCCTTCCCCACCATGGCGGATCGCACCAGAGTGATCCCTTCCTTTCTTTCCCGGCTTCGTTCAGTATTTTGTCACAGCGAGCAGGAAAGTGACTAGGACAGGCCAGAGTCTGGAAACGGTTTGTGTGAATTTGACACTGAGGAGTTGAGTGGCGAAGCTTGGCCTAAATGTTTGGTTATCTTGCCGGATACAAAGATAACGTAGTCAGTCCGTCTGTAATCCCCGCATCGGCGCTCCGAGACACATGTGGCCCCAGGGGTTTCACTGAGGGCAGGTGGTACTCTCTATCCTTGGTAGTGTCGGAAAATGTGCACAGGGTAAGGATGGATGGTTTCCCGGGGCCTTCTGTGACACTGATGGTCCTAGCAGGGCAGGCGGTGCCACCCTGTACCATTAGCCTGAAACTTTCATGTAATAGATTGACATATTGTGTGCAGTGGCCCCCAGAGGCTTGGGCTAGGCCGGAGGGCATCATGCCTACCGAGTAAACTGTCCTCAGTCCCAAAGCTATGGGGCGGTGGAGGGGTCTGGCTGACTGCTAGATAAAGTATTGGACTGTCCCCCTCTTCCCCATGACCCACACGGTTGGAGGAGAGAACTGATTCCAGGAAGTTGCCCTCTGACTTCCACACATGGGTCATGGTACATGCATGCGCACCCATTCACCCATGCCCACACTCATGCACATACAGGATCGCACATAAATAAACCAAACCCAAACAAAACACTAACGCACCGTGGAGCCCTTATTTGAATTCTGGTAGAGGTAAACTGTTGCAGAATCATTTACAGTGTAATGAGGGGTTGTCAGTCAGGACACCCACATGACACTTTTCCATCACTGGGACATCATGGGGTGTTGGGGTGTGCAGAAGGGTGGGGACTGGGAGGGCAGGGTGGAGATGAAGCTGGCTTGGATGTGAGCCCGTGCTTTTGAAAGCTGGGAATGGGAACACTGGGGCTCCTCTCTGTTGTCGCATACGTTTGACTTTTTCCATAACAGCAAACAGAGGAAGGACACGCTTGCTCGCCCCGAGCATGCCGCTCTTGGAAACAGTTCAAGCGTCGGAAAAGGGAAGCAAAGCGGCAAGGCTGAGGGGTCTCAGAAGGACTGGTGAAGAGATTCATGTCACCTTGTTCAGAACTTCCAGTGTCTGTGTAAACAATCACACGTATTTATGCTTTCTTTCACAAATGGGATTAAAGGAGGCTCGAGGGTCTGCAGCCTGCGCTCTTCACTTAACACGAGCCGCAGGCCATCCTTCATGTCAGAGCTTCCGCCTTCCTTCTCAGCTTCACCGAGTTCTTGTGTGGCTGCCCTGTGGTTCGCTGAGCCATTCCCTCTGGGTAAACTCTCAGAGTCTTTGCTGTTGCACACTTTGCTCTAGTGAGTGTTACCACACATGTGTGTTGGCATCCTTGGGTGGGAACACGTGTGATTATGTTCCTAGGAGCTCGGCTGCCTCCGAAGGCCTCCCACCAAATGTCCTGGAAAGTCACGGTCCTCTTGAAGGTGGTGAGGCAGGCTGTGTCCTGGCCCATACTGTGAAGCCCTGCTGATGACCAGGGGTCGAAGCTCAGTGGGTAAAGTGTTTGCTTCAGATACATGAGGACTTGTGAGTCTGAGCCAAAGCTGTGTATAAAAGCTGAGCATAGTGGTGTGTCCTTGTAATCTCGGTGCTGGGGAGACCACGACGGAGATCCTGGAGTTCACTGGCCAGCCAGCCTAGGTTGGGGAGCTCCAGGCCAGTGAGAACGTCTATTGCACTCTGGGTTAATTGAACACCTACTGCACTCTGCCCATGGTGATCTATATAGCCCTTGAATATTCTAGAACTGGACTCAGAAGCTCCACTGTGCTAGTGTTACTCCCTAGCTGCTGGGTCACAATGTCACCGTGAAGGGACTCTCCTCCCTCCAGGCGGCAGACATCTTGCAAACAAGTAGAGCCAGAGAGCAGTACTCAACCAACCATGGGATGCCCCTGGTGTCGGCTCCTGTCCCAGCCCTCCTGTGCGGTGATTTCCTCCCCACCAGAGCTCACACCCCTCCCCTGAGTCTGGGATGGACTTGTGGTGACTTGAACAACAGAACCAAAGGACGTGGCATTGATGCCCACCCCGCTATGAGTCTCTTGTATTCAACCCAGGCTACCAGTCAGAGGGTCAAGTCAAGCGGAGTAACACAGCGGACAGAAAGGGAGAGAGAGAGAGAGAGAGAGAGAGAGAGAGAGAGAGAGAGAGAGAGGAGTGGGAGAGCCTGCAGTACTCCAGGCAATGGTAGTATGAATACAGTAGAAAATGTTGTTCTAAGCCGTGGGGGTGGGGGAACGATTTGTTACACGGCAGATGGGCAAAGCTGCCTGGCACACACTCCCTTATTCTACCATCATAAGGAGTGGATATTACTCCCTGCTTACACATTCCAGGACATTAAGAAATCAAACCAGGCCGGGCAGTGGTGGCCCACACCATTAATCCCAGTACTTGGAAGGCAGAGGCAGGAGGATCTCTGTGAGTTGGAGCTCAGCCCCGTTGGTCCTCTGACCCTCTGAGCATTCTGAAACCCTTGCTCTCAGGTGGCAGCCTCAGCTGGATCTCCACTCCAGCCTCACATTTCTACCCTGCCTGCTCTCCCCTGCCACGAGTGCCCCTGGGCGCCACTTAGAGCCTAAGAAACCCTATCGACCACAGACAGATGTGACAGATACCCTGCCAGCTGCCCTTCACTTCATGAACCCTGCATCCAGCCACAGTTGGCCCTTGGGAGCAGCCACTAGAGCTGCTGGGGATGGCCCCCAGATTCGCAGAGTGGAGAGTGAGCTGCAGTTTTCCACTGGCCAGTGGCAACTCCTCCACACCTCTTCATGTTGGGAAACTGAGCTGCCCTTCTGCTGGGAAAGCCTTGGGGAGCGTTCCCTTTTCACTTTCCAGTGTCCCTGAGCTCGCCTCCTGGAGCCTCCCCTTCTGTCTCTAAGATGGTCCCTTGCGAAGCTGTGTCCTCTCTCGTGCATCTCTCATAGAGGACATCACCATCTGGCTGCCCTCAGTCGGTGTTGAGACCCCTGCCCAGTGAGTCACGTGGGCATGGACAGTCTCATTTGGAAATTAGTACAAAGGGCTGGAGAGGTGGCTCAGCAGCTAAAAGCACTGGTTGCTCTTTCAGAGGACCCGGGTTTGATTCCCAGCACCCACATGGTGGCTCACAACTCCAGTTCTAGGGGATCCAACACTGTCTTCTGGTCTCTCCAGGCCTGCGGTTCACAGAGATCAGTACAGGCAAAATACCCTGTAGATTCCTAACGCATCACCGCTGCTTACGTTAGCACCAGTACTCAGAGCCTATGCTAGCAGCTTCAAACACAGCATGCTTTAGTTCTTTCTGGAAAACGCTCTGCTGGTCAGCTGAAAAAATTCTACTTTCCTATTTGATTTTCCTACTTGGTCCAGATAAGTCAGGGCCTCATACTGCAAACCCAGAGAGGAGAGGATGGTGGTGTCCACACAAAAGGGACCTCTGTCCCGGCAGCTGCGTCTGTCCCTTGGTCCCCTCCTGATGGTGTGTTCTGGGGGGGAGCCTGTGCTGGCCCAGCCCTGCAGCCATTTCCTGAGCTTGCTGACAGAGCTGGCTGCACAGGGCTTGCGCACATTCCAGGGAGTCTCGCCGGCGAGGCCCTTGCTCCAGGCCCAATTTCAACAAACACAGACAGACCACCACAATCCTGCTCTCGACGTGGGGCTGGCACCGCAGGCCTTGGCGGTGGGAACATAGATCACTGTGGCCAGGGCAGCAGATGTGAGCTTCGCAGGCCCGCCAGCCCCGCGAGTGGGAGGCCTGCCAGATGCTGCAGGTCCCAGTGAGCTCCAGGGAGCAGGGAGCAGGGAGCAAAACCCAGGCTGGGACGGGGGGCTCTGCAAAGCGGGGCTGGCCTCCTCCTTGCTGGGCGGCCAGGAGCTCATCAGAGCATCCAAAGGCACTCCATGATCCCTGTGGCTTTGGCCCAAAAGCAACCTCCAGGCAGATGGGAATCTGCCTTTTCGTATGAACACGAAGAATTCTTTGAAGACTACTCATCTTCCTGTCCTGTTTGGAAAAGTAGGAGGCTGAGGAAAATGGAAACCGCCTGTCCCATTAGGGTCCCGGGTTTGGGGTTACGAGGATGGAATTTGGGACTTTCTTGGAGGGTTTACAAGAATTCAACCTGTTTAGAGAGGGGTCCCTGCTGAGGATCCCAAGGCTTGTATGTGTGAGGGACTTGCTCACCTTCTAGGCACTTCCAGAAAGGCGCCTCCAAGTTTTGGGGAGATGGGCCCAGACTATTCTTTTAGGGTTACTGTCGGTCATGCAGATTTATGGGACACCACCTTTCTCACGCTGACCTCACCGCTACCATGACCCTCACAATTGAACAGGGTCAGTCTTTCTCTCTCTCCCTTTTTCCTTCCTTCACCCATTGTTGACCTGTGTATGATAGAGACACATGCCATGTGCATGCCTGTCAGACCTATGGTGGAATGTCCTGTCTCTCAGCTCTGGGAAGGGATGCTGGGTCTCTCCCCTTCTGGTTCTTAGTTTCAGCAATGATATGGGTCTCGCTCTGCTAACCAAAGATAGCAGAGTGTTGGACTTTTAATGGTATTTTAAGAATATTGTGATAGAATAACCAGCTGACTTAAGTAAAACACTGAAAACAATATTATTATTTTTTGCATGTATACAAAGTAATAGCTTTATATTTTCCTTTTTGGCGTGTGATATGTGTGTGCACATGCATGCACTCAAACACACACACATATCATATATCAAAAAATTGTTTTTATTCCATAGGG